AATGACTTGTTTGAAAATCTGGCTTAAACTTAAATTCTCATTCATAAATCGGCCTTGAACCTTTGGCGATTACGGGTAAGTTACGGTCAAACTAAGATCGTAGAGAGACATACAATATTGTTAGGCAGTTACCGTGACTTTACAAATCTTTAGTAAAATCTCAGTTAAACTCAGCGTACTAGATGAGCCCACGAGACAAATTTTCAGCTTCCCCAAAGCTATTTTAGGGTTAACGGTCAACGGTACTTTCGTCTACAAGCCACGTACAAGTTTATACAATCCTACTGTAATGATAAGAACGCAAACATCCCCTAGTGGGAAAGTTTGAGATCGCCCTTCAAAATACATTACTAAGAACTGGAAAAGCCTGGAAAAAGAGTTGTTAACGATCAGAATGTCACATTTAAATACCTCTGCATACCACGACCTCTAGTCTATCTCTAGTCTAGACCACCTTCGAACTGATAGTCATATGAAAAGACTACACAAATTTCGTTGAACCTGATTCCGATGACTAAATGATAAACACTCACATTCGCTTTTTTATCAATAGGTTTGATCACAAACTTCTTGTCGTTAAACGATATGTTGCGTATCTCGGACCACGGAAATCCAACCTTAAACAAAAATTCAATTCCATATAAAAAACGGCAGTGCTTCGAAGTATGCAGACATCTTTCTTAATCGACACTATTTTAGCTTTTCTGAGGGTATATATTGAGCTCCAAGTAATGCAAAAACTCTCAAGGTAGCGAAAGAATTATTCAATATGAAACGAAAGCAAGGCTTCAGCGATATCTCGTTCTCTCCTAAATGATTATTTGCTATTTAGGTGAAGACTGTAATGTTAAACCGTCCCAATATACTGGCCCAGAGAGGAAAATGCAGGAAACCGCTACAATTCAATAAATCCATTATTTGAAAAGTAGCCAGTACCCATCTAGGCCAAAATGTATTTGTGCGAAATTTGTTGCAATCGATCCGGATGGAAAATTTGTATTCGACGCATGCACTTCAGCACACATACCGACCGACAAATACAGTGCTTTGCATAGAAGAAATTGATATGCAGTCGAGAAGAAGATATTAGAGCATACATGACTAGTAATTAGCAAAAACAAATTCCTTAGGGCCAAGCAATTTCATCAAGCAAAAAAAAAAACCTAAGAAAGTCGTTTTGTTCAATCATCACAAGACCAGTGAATTCCAAGCTACAGATTGAAAAATAAAAAAGACACCGGCTCTACAAGGACAATAATTGCAAGATTACCGAATTACCTTCGGCGATAACTTATCAGATTTCTCGTAGATATTGAGGCCCAACGCATCGACTCCCAGATACAGATCGGTACCCTTTTTGTTGCGAATTTCAAAATACTAAAAGATAAGCTTTAAACGAATGTATTTGCACCTATGTACACACAACTTTTAAACATACGCACATTAACGCCATACATCTCAAGATCCTGAGCAAGTTTCAGGTATTCGAGCATTGCTTGTTCACGAGTAGTACCTTTGTGATCAGCCCACCAAGTCATGATTCTCTTCTCCCAGTCGTCAGAGCTCATTTTGAATTGACCTGCTACTCGTTGTGGAAGAAGCCTTCAATCAATATGCGTTGTAAGAAATCACAGAAGATTGTGCTTTCTTACCTGTCTGCAGTTAGACAGCCAGGTTTATGGGTTTCCGGCTGATAGTCACCATATTTTGCTTGCATGGCAAAAGACGCTAATAGCACAGAAGTTTCCGGTGAGCAGTAAACTTCATCAGAAAGAATCGCATCTTTGACTTGGAGGTAAAAAAGACGCTAAAAAAAGGAAACGTTTTGAAGTGACGCTATAATAATCAATAGCTTTCAATCAAAAAATTGAAGAGAGCTTGGATTATACAATCAAATTGTAAAAATAGTGTGATCATGTAACTCGTAAAAAAAGTTTAGGGAAGATTGATGAATAACTTCTACTCAAAGACAAAAGAATCGCCGCTGTGCAGTAGGTTGTATGAACAAGAGAAGAGTCCTTTATGATTATATGGGGCCATCATCCACTTCGAATATTACTTCACTGCCCTAAATAAAGCTCTCTTTCGTGCAA